AGTGAGTTTCCAGACAAATAAGGCTAAGGTTTTTCTACGGCTTTTTTATTATTAAAACCTAATTTATTGCTTTTTTAAAATTTAAGTTTTATGATACATGTACAGGATGTGCAGGTTTGTTACATAGGTAAATGTGTGCCATGGTCGTTTGCTGCACCTATCTACCCATCACCCCAATGCATTAGCTATTCATTCTGATGCTCTCCCCTCCCCACCTCAAGACTCTAGTGGGTGTTGTTCCCCTCCCTGTGTCCACATGTTCTCATTGTTCAGAATATGCAGTGTTTGGTTTTCTGTTCCTGTATTAGTTTGCTGAGCATAATGGCTTCCAGCTTAATCCATGTCCCTGCAAAGGACATGATCTCATTCCTTTTTATGGCTGCATAGTATTCCATGGCGTATATGTAACACATAATTAGAAACGATTTCATATTGTACGACTGAAAAACATTAAAAAGTCTATCATACTTTTGGTGAGGATGTAGTAAAGGGAACTTTCATATATTATGCTGGAAAACAACTTGGATTACCTAGTAAAGTTGAAAATACATATACCGTACGGCTCAGCAACATGTGCATCAGTAGATGTACAAAGCTGTTCTTGGAAGACTTATTCATAAAAGGGAGAAACTAGAAGTAACCCAAATATCCAATGATAGGAGAATGAAAACATGTTTGAACATTCATATAATTGAATGTGATGCAGCAATGAATATGAAGTACAGCCAACCTAATCAAACTAAAAAACAAAGTTGATTGGAAAGGCAAATCCCAGAAAAACACAGATAAAATGATTCCATTTATAGAAGTTTCATAACTAGACAATATGACATATTGCTTGCAATACATTCATATGTGGCAAAATTATAAAGAACATCATGGAATAATTAACATGAAATTCTTTGTGGTGTTCACATCTGTAGCAGAGAAAGGGGATGCAACTGGGAAGGAACATATGGGGCTTTGTAGGTATTGATGATTTTCCTTTTCCTTCTTATTTTATTTTACTTTTTTGGAGACTGGTCTCATTCTGTTGCCCAGGCTGGAGTGCAGTGGCATGTTCTCGGCTTACTGCCATCTTCACCTCAGGACTGAAGCAATTCTCCTGCCTCAGCCTCCCGAGGAGCTGGAATTACAGGTGCCCACCACCATGCCCAGCTAATATTTTTTACATAGTGACAGGGTCTCCCTGTGTTACCCAGGTTGGTCTTAAACTCCTGGACTCAAGCCGTCTTCCCACTCAGTCTCCCAAAGTTCTGGGATTATAGGCATGAGCCACCGTGCCTGGCAAGGTTCATCATTTTCATAGTTCTTTTACCAGTATCCTAAACTTTTTGCTTCTTGGTCTTTTTATCACAAGAATCAAACAACCCCCGCTCCCAGGGGGGAAAATATTTTCTTTTCCTCTCCCTCCTTCTAATTAGCAGAGAAAATTCACACCAATGTGCCAGGCATATTGGCTATACTGTAGATTTATGATCAACATTTTCCAATGGTTGACATTACCAAGTATTCCTACAGTTTCTCTCGCAAATTCACTCTCCTTCCTTTGAAATAATTATTTAAAACATCCTCCCCAAACATCCAGTTTCCCCACTTCTCTTTCCTCATAAAATACTTCCGCTGCTCATTTTTCTCAAACTATATATCAATGGAAATAAATTTCTAAAATTGGAGGAAAAGTTGTAGTTAGAATACATTAATAAACTCATATAAAAGTTTAAAATATGTAAAACAGTACTATATGGCTAATGGATATACCCATGGGTAACATAAGTATAGCAGAAATGGTAATGACAAACATCAAACTCAGAATAGTGATTATCTCTGGGGAGATAAGATGATGAATAGGATCTAGGAGGGCTACGTACAGGGCTGCCACATATAGTTGCACAACTCCAGATAGCATCATTTATATTATATGGTATGCAGCAACTTTGATACACAGAGATTTGTACAATATATGTTCTTTGCTATGCTAAAAATATTTTAAAATAAAAACAATTTAATACACAATGAACAAGGAGGATGCAGTGTCAATAAGTATAAGCCATTCTCTTCCAGTAGTTTAGCCATAAAGAGTAGGATCTATGACATTGACTTGAATAGGCAGAACTATGAGACTTTTGGGTGAGAGATTAGATTTGGAGCAATGATCTCGTAGGGAAGAAAAAGTTTAAAATATGAGTGACATAGAAGAAACCATGTATGGATTAATTTTCTAAAAGTAAATCCTCTTTTGATATTCTTGATTCAATATTCTCTTGCTGTGAGATCCTGCTCCACTATTTATCTCAACTCTATATAGCTTCATGCTTGTTTCCTTTGAGATAAAACTTAAGCATATTAGTTAAGTGAAGTAAGAGATGCTTGGAGGTGGATGAAGGGAGACATGAAGGCATTCAGATGGCCCCATTTTGTCAATTGTTGGGAGATTAATTAGAATAAATGAGCAGGATTGGAAGAGTGAGCTTTGTGAAGAGGGGGAGAGATTGGAAAAAATTGTTGACTAATGATAAAAGGATTGCTTGAAGTTACAAAGCCTAAAAAAAGTAATATGCCTGGAAACACTTAAGCTATATGAGCCCATATCTAGAGGAGCAAATCAGTTTCTCATAGTATAACTTACGGGCTTTCTCATATAAAAAGGAACAGAGATTGTTAAAGAATAAGCCCACCAGGGGCTGAGATAAAGATAAAAACAAACCTTAAGGGAAAAGGTGTCAACTGAGAGAAATTTTGTAGGAAAATGACATGGACAGAGAAAAAACTTAGCCCTATCTGTTACTAATGGATATCTATATATTTTACCCTAGAAATATGATATGATTCCTGAATATGTAATTGGGTCCAAATAAAGAATTGAAAACAAATTAGAATAACTGATAAGTTTGGTGGAAATGTTTTAGGAATTTAGAAGGGGAGAACTACCTCCTTTGGTTAAATGTCAGGAAAATATTGGTTTCTCCAGATAAATAAATATATCCCATTCCTTTATCAGAGGATCAGATAATTTTAATATGCTACTCTTTTGTACATAAGGTATTGGGAAACTATAAGTTTCCTAATATTTTTCCCAATTAACAGAGTGTGATATATGATATTTGCTTAATAATTGTATTTACTATATGGTTTTAGTAGAAAAAGCACAGGACTTGGAACCATAGAGATCTGGATCAAAATACCAGTTCTGCTATTTACTAGCTCTTGATCTTGGGCAATTCTGCTTACTTCTTTGAAAAACAGCATTTTAAAAAATATTTATTTCTTATTATTCTTATCGGATTTAAATGAGAAAGTAAGTATAAAACACTTAGTCCTGTGACTGGTACCAGGTAGAAACTCAAAGAGGGTAAACATCATTTTTATTTTAGAATATTTAATCTGTATGACACCTTCATTTTTTTAAGTGTTGTGAAAACTAAAGTTACATTCTGAAACGACTGGATAAGAAATCATAATTTTAGTGAGAGAAATAATTTTTAAAAATCTAGATTTTTGTAGACAAGTATTGAAGATTTTTAGATTATAGTGTCTGCATTTAGCTTCCCTTCTGCTAATGTGGCTTCTATCCATTCAATTCAAGTAGAGCCTGGGTGACTGCTAAGTGCCAGGTACTGTTAGAATCTGGGAATACAGTGATGAATTACACAAACGTCCTTTGTCTTAAAAACTCATGGTTTAATTGAAGATGCCTTTGAATATTACATTTTAAACTCTCATTATATATAAATATTTATTCGTACCTTTGGAAAAAGTTGTTTTTCTGATTGCCTTCAGACTCCAGTCCTATTTCTCAATAGGCAACTGTTTCCTATTGGCAGGAAAATGTATTGCCTTGTAGTTTATTCCCTCACAGGAGGAGAGAAACTTTATGAAGAATCAACCGGCTAGTAAGGGCAATGGCATTCTATAGAGAATTAATTTTCAAAAATATTTCAAGGCAATGGAATACTTTTTTGCTCTAATAAAAACCAATAGTCAGCAGATAAAAGCAGAGCTGCCACACTTTGGGAAAGAAAATGGGAGAATTAGGTACCTCTAATTAATATTAGTTTATAGCAATTTAACAAACATTTTAAAGAAAAATAAAACTACATGTATTCACTTGTTTATAATAATTTAAACAATATTTTTTCACTTTGCTTACTTTGATGGAATATTTGACTACACTAGTAATGACAGAATAATATGGGACAAAGAATCAGATCCTATTCTTTGTCCTTCCTCTTTTAAACTAACAGGAAACATCATGGGAAAAAATGGAGGCTGGCAGAAGTTTCTAATTTCAGCTGAGCACACTTTGGGTCATTCTCTTAAAAGTTTCAGCTACTAATGTCACATTTTTTTTGGTTTTGTTTTGTTTGAGATGGAGTCTGGCTCTGTTGCCCAGGCTGGAGTGGAGTGGTGTGCCATCTCAGCTCACTGCAACCTCTGTCTCCTGGGCTCCAGGTTCAAGTGGTTCTTCTGCCTCAGCCTCCCATGCAGCTGGGATTACAGGCATGTGCCACCATGCCCAGCGAATTTTTGTATTTTTTTGTATTTTTATAGAGACAGGGTTTTGCCATGTTGGCCAGGCTGGTCTTCAACTCCTGACCTCAAGTAAATCTGCCTGCCTTGGCCTCCCAAAGCGCTGGGATAATAGCCAAGAGCCACTGTCAGTGACATGATCTTGGCTCACTGCAACCTCTGCCTCCAGGTTCAAGGGATTCTCCTGCCTTAGCCTCCCAAGTAGCTGGAATTATAGGCACACACCACCATCCTGGGCTAACTTTTGTATTAGTAAAGATGGGATTTCACTATGTTGGCCAGGCTGGTCTTGAACTCCTGGCCACAAAGTGATCCGCCTGCCTGAGCTCAGCCTGGAGGTAAGTTATTTCTATAAAGCTATTGTTTAATATTTGGGTAGTATGTATGGCTATACCTAAATAGAAAAAAATTTGCATGAATTTAACAAAGGTGTGTGTTTTATCTATAAAAAGATATAAATTTATTCTTACCTAAAGCCCTCTTATTTTGATGCAGGATATTATGCCCTCTTTTCCACAAGGGAACAGATTCTTCTTCAGTAGTTCTAAGAGTCACAGACTGATAACTTTCTTCACAAACAGGACTTCTTTGGGTGCAATATAATGTTCCGTCCTGCTGGGCAACTGCTTGAGTGCCATTTGAATGATTTACTTTTGCAAAAGTTTGGCACTCTGAAGAACAATATGATGGCAATGATGGTATCACAGTGACTAGGTCAGAATAACCATTTGAGAGTGGAGAACTACTTTCTTGATTCCACTGGTTCAAACTGTGTTCTGTTGGAAGCACATGTTTTAAATTAAAACAGTTATCTGTAATAATGTTCTGAGGATTTTCAGGTGTTACTGATTGACACTGAGATGCTTGTATATTTTCACCATTTCTAATATTTGATGTAGATTGAGGAGGAGGATGGGGTATAATTAATTTTTCCTGAGGTTGTGTAAAGGTGTTGACTTTGCTTACAGATTGTGGTTGAATGACAGTGCCTTTTCTGTTTGTACATATAAAGCCTGATTGAACTTTTGCAGATGCAGATCCTGTTTTTCTAATTATTTTTGCTACACCTCTTTGTGGCTTACCTTGCTGAGTTTTAGAATCATTATTATGTACAAGAATTTTACTTTCCCCCTTTTTTGAGGCTGGCCAGGCATGTTTAGCAAAGTTATAACCTGAAGGTATAAGACAGTTCAAAGGCACATGGTCTTCTCCAGATCCTTCTAGAGTCATAATATTTTCAGAGACAGAATCTTCCCTGGACTTCTTTCTATCAGCAGAATTTACAGCACAAGCAGAAACACTAATTATGTTGCTTCCAGCACAACTTTCAATGTGGAATTGTTGAGAATGCTGTTGAGTTATTCCTGTTTTATTCTTCAGTGAATGATTGTCTTCAGCACTGTTTTCTATATTAGTAGTTTCATCAAACCACCTCAGTTTTTTAATAGTCTTTGGAATTTCTGGACCTTTTTCCTTTTCCTTTGTTAATTCAATACTATCTCTGATAGCTGCTGCTTTTTGATTTCCAAACTTAAAGCTCTGATTTATAATTAATGCCTTAAGATAATCATGTTCATATTTAGATTCTTTCTTTAATATACTTTTAAGAAACCTCACACCATTTCTCTCATGGATGTTGTATTTCATTTTCTTTTGTTGGCCAACTAAGTCATATTTAGAAGTTACATTTGGCAAGGATGATGTTTCAGCTAATTTTTGTTTTTCATCTTTTGAATTGGGATTGTGAGGTATATAGGCATCTTGAAAACTGTCTGAAAATAAAGGCAACTCTCCCTTATGACAATTAAAATATTTTATGTTTTCTTCTTTACCATCTTTCAATTCATCTAACTTATCAGAACACTGCACTGCATCAATTTCTTTTATGTGTATACTGTTCTTTGCTAGAGGTCTAGCTGACTGTGTATTAGATGGCAAAACTAAAGGCATTGCCAGTGATACACACGAAGTAGGAATTGAAGTAGTTCCATTTTCTTGATTTAATTCAGAATATTTTTCTTGATCTGGAAATGTAGTCACTTCCTGGGTTAGAGAATCCAAAGTGCTCCGGTATTTGCTAAATTTAAAGGTTGGGCTCTCAGTAACTAATGGCCTCTCTCTTTTGAATGCTCCAGACGTGGTGTCAGTTGTCCTTATAGTGCTAGTTTCAGAGGCCTTTTCACTTTTTTTATCTAGTACAAATATGGGTGGGGTAGATACAAAGCCTACTGAATTATTAGCAGTATTTGTGGCTTTTTCCACTGTTGCAGTCAAAGGAGATGGATTTTTTTCTTTACTATTAAAACATTCCCATGAAGGCAGAACATTAGATTTACTTAAATTATCTGAGAAAGGTGTGACATTCTGAGTATTTGAAGCATCTAAATTTGTAAGCCAATTATTTGTATGTTGAGCTTTAGAGAATGCCAGTTTATCTTCATCAAAGCAGCTTAGATTAGTTGATTGAGGATCTGCTGATTTGAGGGAAATGATATTCCGCTGGATGGATGTGGAATGTTCCTTATTAAGTGTTAAATATATTTCTTCATGTTCTGTAGCCTCAAGACTGTCTATACTTGAGAGGGTTTCAGAATTGGTTATCTGATTAACTTCATCACAAAATTTCTGAAAAAACAACAACATTGTTTTATAGTTTATAAACTTTCAAATGCCAATATCAATGATTCAACATACCATTGTTACTGAGCCCAATTCTCCTTGCATATAGAGTAATATGACTATAAACATTGTAGGTATATAAGTAATTCTTATCCCTGCATCAATCCTCAAGGTAAAAAACAGGGCGGTAACAAAGACTTATAGTAAAGTATGCTTGCTTTGACTTCAACTCCTAAAGTAATACCCACTTATTCTAGCCACAGTTATAACTTATAAAATAATTTTGTTATTGCCATTCCATTTAGAGTATGAAGTTTCTTGAAAGCTTAGTAATAGCAAGTGAAATTCTGAAAAAAATTAATTATAAATTGTATTTTTTCCTGAAACATTCACAGAGCCTAAAAGCTCTGTGATCCTAAAGTGAGCTTCCTGTTAGTAGAAGTTACATCTTTTTATAAAACTTAATTTCGTGAACTGTAGTAAGGTTTTTAACTCTGGCTACATGTTGAAATTACATAAAGAACTATGTAAAATATCTATACCTGGGTCATGCCGATTTAATACTTGGATGGGGTCCATATATTGTTATTATTTAAATTCCCCAGGTAATAAAGTTCATGGATGGACATGTAGGAATATCAGTTGAAATCTATATTCATTTGTGGAAAAAACTGTTAACAAAGTATATGCCCTACTAGAGACAGACTACAAGTATCATTTCTAGTGAATTCTGCCATATTTCCATTAAGAAACTAATATCTACATGTATTATAATTTTCTGGTTGCTTTTTATAATACAGCCTCTAACAATAATACATTACATTGTATTTTCAAAGGTAAGGAAAAAACTAAAAAATTATTTCTATAGTTTCTATGATGAATTTGTGCTGATACATCCACACTCTCTTTCATGGCCTATTCTCAGTAACATATTTCTTTAGTGGAGAACACTACAAAAGTGGAGCAGAATTAGTACTAGGAATTAAAATATTAATAAGGTCTTTATAGTTTCATACTTGCAAACTGCTTAGATGCTGATCTTCTAGGAGTTTCTGAGTTTCCTCCAGTTTAAGCTGGAACACATTTTTGTTAGTAGCCAAAGTTGCCTTCATGTTTTCATTCATTTGTTTATCACAATTGGTTTTTGATAGGAGTTGTTTCTGATGCTTGTGATCATTTTCTGATAATGATGAAGGCAAGGCAGAATCTATCGCTCTGTCAAACAGACATAAAAAGTGCTTAGTACATTTAAATAAAGTTAACTTCTTTTTATATGTATATACATGACACATTTGTGTAATATGTGTGTTTGTCCAGATAATCACATATAAGGATATTGGAGAAATAAAGACAAGTTAGAATGAGAATTTAAGGCAATCAATAGTAGAATAAAAATAGTTGTGAGACTAAAGTGCCAATAAAGAACACCTTCATATAGAAATGCCTAGTAATTCATGGTTTTGATTATTATAACCTATCCCTCTCTCATCTGGGATAAGAGTAGAAGTAATTTCTGCATAGAGTTAGTCCTCAGTTCTTTAAGAGCATTCCTATATGGATAATAATACGCTGCATTACCATTCTTTCTGAGATGATGTGATGGATGGTAAGTTAGGAAAAAATCTATAACCCTAATAATGTTGGCTGAAGATTCAAGCAGATAGAAAATATAAAAACTGCCTATCAGGGTCAACAGGAATTTTCACCCTATTTATCTAGCTTTGGGAACCTGGATCTTCCTCAATGGAGGCCATGTACTCACTTATTTTAAGTTGTTTCAGGATGGTTTTTATGCCATAGAAGTGTACCTTTCATATAGAGTCTACCTTTACTGTGCTAAAGGGCCACCTAAATATTTTCAGTGCATGACCTCATCTTCCATTAGAATTTTGTATCTTCTGCAAACCTATAGCATGTTACACTTCAGTATATATACAAAGTGAAAGCAAAGAACTAAAGAAAATTTTTGGGGGAGAATAGGATGGGGATGAGACTATTATATAGCTGAATGCTGATGCACTGGGTCTGGCAGTGTGAATCCCAAGAGCATTTATTCCTAATTCAATTAAATTATTCCCACTTCAATGAGGATAAAAATGTTTTGGAAGTTGACAATGGCCACATGTGACATATACCTATTAACTATCTCCAATATCCATATATATCTTTATTTGGACAGACTGGAGTAGTCAAGCTCAATGATTACTAGATTCTTAACTATCTCGATGTGATCACACATTAATGAGGGAGAGCAAGAAGGTATGTGATACAAGTTCCTGAACATTGAGGATATGTTTCTGTCTCTTCCTTTTATACTTTTCTCCTCTTACATAATCCTTCCCCCTCAGTCACCCTTCCCAAACAAAATATTGCTATATCTACAAAATATCTAGTAAACTCAAATTATTTACCTTTAAAGTTGTTGTCTCTCAACTTTTTCTTCTCTATTCCTTTCTTCTCTACTCCACTTTCTTCTCTTCTCTTCTCTACTTTCTTCCCCCAGTGAGGAGGATTGAAGGGGTGGATAGGAATAAAAGGAGATGGGGAGGTAGAAACAGAGGGAGAATGAAGAATAGGGGGAAAGGAAGAGGAAATCATAAAGGAAGAAGTAGCAGGAGAAACTGGAGAGGGAAAAGCTAAATAAGTTGGAGGCAAACATGGGGAGGAAGATGAATGCAAAGGAGTGGAAAAAAGAGAGATAGATGAAGGAGGTAAGGATGGAGAAGTAGAAGAGGAAGTCGAAGAAGAGGAAAGAATAGATGAGGAAGAAGAAAACGGTATACAGGTCAAAGAAGACGGTGTGGAAGTAGAAGGAGATGAAGGCAAAGAAGAAGATGGAGAATGACAAGGAGGTACAAGGGAGAGAACTGAGGCTGGTGGATGATCTACAAAGGCCTGGGGCTGATTTGACAATGCTGTGGCTTGTGGAACAGCTTGCTGGACTGACTGAAAAGGATCCAAGTTAGCAGGATGTGCAGGCAATGGAGTGACATAAGAAAGAGTGGGGACTTGTTGATGAGGGGGATGACTGGATAAACAGGAAGGCTTCAAAACAGGGAGAGGTTCCAAAGGGGTTGGGGAAACAACCAGTTGAGCTGGAAGGGAATGACGAACAAGGGCGGGCATTAGAGTGGCTGTAGTAGAAGGCTGTGCTGGAAGGAAATGTTTGGGTCTGAAAGTTTTGTAAAATAACTTGTTCTGTGAGTCAGGGTCAGGAATGATTGGAGAACTTTGGGGTGGGTGGGGTAGATGGCCAGTTGGGCCAGAAGGAATTGGTGCTGGCAGACAAGCTAAACTGCTAGAAATGCTGGAAGTAGCTGGGGTTGGAGGATGAGGACGATATTTAATTGGGTAAGGCAGTAATGGGGCTGGTGCAAAGGTCTTTGGAAGAATAGAGGGGACAGATGGATGGATAGGCAGCGTATGGGGCTGGCGGGTAGGAGAAACAGTCGGGTAGCTAGGAAGAATTTGGGAGTGGTGGGACCACAATGGGACCCTCAAAGGAGACAGCTGATCAGGTAAATAGGGGTCAGGTGTGGAGATAGCTGGACAGGTAGGAATGAGTCTGCACAGGTGGAAAAGCATTTGGACAAGCAGGTAGAGAGACAGCCTTATTAAGATTTTATTTTTGGTTTATTGGCCTGTCTCTAGGCTTTTAATTCATGTAATTTTTTTGTCCATAGGGTCCATGCATGATTTTCCTTTGATCAACCAGTGTCCTCTCACATGGACTGAAAAATGTACGTAGCTTATTCAAGTTTGCCATTCCTTATTCCTGGTTCTTAGAGTATTTTCACTTCTCAGAAGCCTTTTACTCATTCAGAAACATGAATATGGGCTGGAAAATCTGGCTTAAAGCATGAGTTCAAAGAGGAAATAGAGGTCAATAGATAACTGCTCAGCTCTGGCCAGATTTCTCAGTGTAGCATGTGGTTCAGGATCAACTGCCTCACCACAAATACATGGATATTGGAGATAGATATCTAACAGTATCATTTTATTAAAGTTTAACCATTTAATATGGGAGACAATATATCTCCTTTTACCTTAAACCTTCCAGAATGGTCAAGCATATTAGCTTTATGATAAGCATTTGGTGGTGATAGAAGACTAATTATTTCTTATATTTTTAATTTTAGTCACTTATTAATATTCTTATACCTCACTGATATAAGAATATAGAAGCTGAAGCAGCTTCGATGTTCATGAGAACATATTCTCTGATTTTTTGAGGGGCTTAAGCACTAAATGCCCTGCACTTTATCATATTTTTTTCTCTTTTAGATTATTACATTGCCAACATTTTATTTTTATCTACCACTGACATTTTCCGCATTAGAATAATCTTACTGATATACCTCTGCTTATTTGTAAGTCCCTTATTTCTTGGCATTACCTTATTTCTTAGCACATTTAGGTTGATATTCCACTGAAAATGTATTTTTAATGTGACACTAGCTTATCAATGTTTTCAGCTTTATTATATTTTCAACAAATAAAAATATGTCCATTAACCTAACACCTGATTCTTAATATTCCAATATTTCATATTTGTATAGGATTTCAGAGTTTACAAAGCACTATCATATACATTACTTAATACTGTTGGTTATCTGTGGAAAAAAGTCCAACTTTTTAATAAGTAAATAATAGTTTCCTCAGTAAACATTGTATATACTTGTTGTTTTCCAAAACCTAAAATTTATGTGATATATATAAACATACACACACATACATAGATACAGATATCATGAAGTCATAGTCAAAATAGTATACTAAAATGACATGAAAACTAACTAGGTATTCTAATGAGGAATGAAGATCATTTCTCATAAAACAAAGATGACGTGTGTTATTTAATGATTCTAGCATAGACTTGCTGTAATCATATCTACATGTTTACTACAGGGAGAGCAAAGTTGTTCTGACAGTTTAACTCTTCTTTTTTTATTGCATTTTAGGTTTTGGGTTACATGTGAAGAACATGCAAGATAATTGCATAGGTACACACATGGCAGTGTGATTTGCTGCTTTCCTCCCCTTCACCGATATATCTGGCATTTATCCCCATGCTATCTCTCCCCAACTCCCCACCCTCCGCTGTCCCTCCCCTATTCCCTCCAACAGACCCCAGTGTGTGATGCTCCCCTCCCTGTGTCCATGTGTTCTCATTGTTCAATACCCGCCTATGAGTGAGAACATGTGGTATTTCATTTTCTGTTCTTGTGTCAGTTTGCTGAGAATGATGGTTTCCAGGTTCATCCATGTCCCTATAAAGGACACGAACTCATCGCTTTTGATGGCTGCATAATATTCCATGGTGTATATGTGCCACATTTTTCCTGTCCAGTCTATCATCGACGGGCATTTGGGTTGGTTCCAGGTCTTTGCTATTGTAAACAGTGCTGCAATGAACGTTTGTGTGCATGTGTCCTTATAGTAGAAGGATTTGTAATCCTTTGGATATATACCCAGTAATGGGATTGCTGGGTCAAATGGAATTTCTATTTCTAGGTCCTTGAGGAATCACCACACTGTCTTCCACAATGGTTGAACTAATTTATACTCCCACCAGCAGTGTAAAACTGTTCCTATTTCTCCCCATCCTCTCCAGCATCTGTTGTCTCCAGATTTTTTAATGATAGCCATTCTAACTGGCGTGAGATGGTAGATGGTATCTCAATGTAGTTTTGATTTGCATTTCTCTAATGACCAGTGATGATGAGAATTTTTTCATATGTTTGTTGGCCTCATGTATGTCTTCTTTTGTAAAGTGTCTGTTCATATCCTTTGCCCACTTTTGAATGGGCTTGTTTGTTTTTTTTCCTTGTATATCTGTTTAGTTCTTTGTAAATTCTGGATATCAACCCTTTGTCAGATGGGTAAACTGCAAAAATTTTTTCCCATTCTGTTGGTTGCTGATTCACTCTAGTGACTGTTTCTTTTGCCGTGCAGAAGCTGTGGAGTTTGATTAGGTCCCATTTGTCTATTTTGGCTTTTGTTGCCAATGCTTTTGGTGTTTTGTTCATGAAATCCTTGCCTACTCCTATGTCCTGAATGGTTTTGCCTAGATTTTATTCTAGGGTTTTTATGGTGTTAGGTCTTATGTTTAAGTCTTTAATCCATCTGGAGTTAATTTTAGTGTAAGGTGTCAGGAAGGGGTCCAGTTTCTGCTTTCTGCACATAGCTAGCCGGTTTTCCCAATACCATTTATT